CTTCTATAATTTTAATAGTTTGTATGGTTTAATAGGTTGCAGTCTGAAAATATTTATTAAGGGGTAGCAACTATTTCATGAAGTTATATAATATAATAAAGATGTTCAATTTTATGCAAAGTTAGGGATTAAATTTTTCTGTGAAGTGACTGTCATATAATTTTGATTAATTTATTATTTTTTAAAACTGGCCGTGGTAGCCAAGTGGTTAAAGAATTGGAAACCTGTCCGGAGGGGCAGGAGCTCGATCTTCAACTCCGAAGTATTTACATGTATCGAAACCTCATTTATTTTAATTACATGCAATAATTGTATTTTACATGCATCAAAAGATACTGGCAAACGGTGTAAATATCCATCATCAGTTTATTTGAAAACATTAAATAAAAAGGATTAAAAACATATTTATAATTTTTCCTCCCCGTCTTTACCCTTTCGACAGTTGAGTTAGGTCAGATAAAGAAGGTCCTCTTAAGGTTCACGTCTCAGGGATTTTTACGTCAGACTCTTATTTGCACCAAACTTTCAGCAGATTGCGCCAGACTTCCAGCTGATCTGCTTACCTTAATCCAATGCTATTTACATTTGGAGAAGTTTAGACCATTCATTCTCTATGGTTAATATGCTCAACATTTAACTACTTCTTACAAGATCAACTGTGATTTTCGTCTTCAAGGAACAGCAACTGATAAGTCAAAAACTACTCTTGCTTAAAAACTACTGAAATCAGTCCTTTTAAAGTCCCACAGTCGACAGATCGTTAAGACTCTGTTCCCATCAGATCATCGAAGACAAGCATCACTGGCTGTGAACAGTGTGAGGTTGGAGGACCACTTTGATCAGCCAGCGATGGGACCGAGGGTATACGGTATTGGTCCTCGTTACACTGTTCTACCGTAAAGTGCTCGACTTCACGTGCAGGTAGTCGGGCATCCTCAGAGATGTTCCCAGACCGTCGCCAATAGCCAATTGAGCAGCTCTAGTGTGATGTAAGTGAATTACAACAATAGCCCTTTTAAGTGCGAATAATATGAAATGAAAATGTTTTGTACTTATATTTTTTGACACCAGAGAAAAAAAAATTTGTGAACAACAGAATTTCTTACTCTTTATAAAAGCTCTCATTGTGTATCTAAGTTGAAAAGCAAATTTAAATTTCATTAGTCTTTTAACCTTCAAGGCAACATTCTTTATATTAGATTTTATTGTTTTGACTAATCTCCAAAATAAGATATTCGTCGGTATTGTTTAGAACCTGCAAAATATTTCTAAAAAACGTAAAACTTTTATGCAAATTGGTTTCTCTGATGAATTCAAAAATAAAATTTAGTAGAAGTTCCAAAACAATTGAAAACACAACTATAGTCCACTTATATCATTTAGTACATATCGTGTTAATAGCTAATTTCTAATTGTGCAACAATAGGAAGATCATACAAAAGTAAAGTATTTAAATCATTTTAATATACATATATTTTTATAGTAATATAGAAAAATATTTTCAACGAAATTATAAATCTGAATTTTAATTTAAACTTCTTCAATAATTACATAGTTGTTATTTATTTGGACTTACTATTACACTCTTCAATAATTTCGTACAAATTTTAGATTAATCAAAATTAAAAAAAAATTGGTAATAATTTGAGTATCAATATTAAGTGTCACAATATCAGTTAAAAACACTAAAGTAAATCCTGCTTTTTTTCTAATTTCAAAATGTCAAAAAAAAGTTTCAACTATTTTAAATTCAATGAAAAATGATAAAGCATTATACAAATTATTTAATTGATTAGTTAATAATCTCAACACTTTCTTTCTACATTTCTGTTTTTATTTTTTTCTTTATTAAAAGTTAAAAGTTTAGGGGTAATCCTGAGTTCCGCAAAATCAGAGAATCCTTAACGATTTCTTTTTATTTTATTCGAATTTTTTTTTTTGCATTATTTTTGTGTTTAGATAAAGTACCCTTAGATATCGATACATATAGCAAGTAATAACTTTTTGCTTGTCATATTATAGCCATTTTCAGCTTGTGGCGATGACAGAAGTATAAGGTTGTTTTTCGAAAGCTCTGTCGTAGCATAAAATACTTTTTTGAGAATAATATGCTATTTTTATAACTGCCGTGAATTTGCAACTGCTACTCATACCTGTTATGCCAAGTTTAGCCTAAGCCAGCGCTGACTATGCTTATTTTGAAAATGGAGCAAAACATCAATATATAGAAAAGCCACCGTTTTCTGAAAATAAAAAAGTGTTTGTGGTCTATTGTTTCAATATTTAGAAACTTACGCTGAACTACCTAGGTAAAAACTGAGAATAAGGCAGTGATTTTGATAACTTTTATCTAAGTTGAAAAATGTCGCCAAATTGGCGATCTTTAAAAAAGTTTAATAATTTTTAAAATATTTATTTGTCTGTTCTAAAACCCAGATAATGCCTCTTCTCAAGATTATATATACAGTTTAAAATCACTGCATTGCTTCAAGTGTGAGGCACTTAAACTATGGCTTTTTTACTTTCCTTGGTGACAGAGATTTGAAAAACAGTGATTACCGTAATTACGCTCCTTAGCTAAATTTTTTTTCCAATGCCCACCTGTGTTAACATCCGTCAATTCAGGCATATACAGGGCGATTTTATTGGCCTCTCTTTCAGGAGCACCATATTTGGTGGGCCAACTTCGCTCCACAGTGAGGACTGATAGTACAGAGAAGGAAAGAACATCCATGCCTTGCTCGGGATTCGAACCCAGAGCCTTTCTGATGCAAGGACAGTTCCCTGCCCTCCACACAACCGGTCGGCACTCCTCAGCTAAAAGTTGTCACCTAACCTTGATAGACGAGGTTGCTTTATGAAACATCATTTACTGAAAGATAAAATTCATTTAAATATTTGCTGAAAGAATCATGTTTACGTCGTGAATTTTGCTGATCAAAACGCAAGAAGCAATTGATCTCTCAGTCTGTTTTCTGTTTAGCAAAGGGTTTTCTTCGAAATATTTTAAAATTTATTAATTCATATTAATCAAATTAAATAATCCCGATTCTGAAATATAGTTTGTCTTGTTAGTGAATTTGTATAAATACTTTTAGATTTGTTCTCAAAATTTCTCTTAGATTTATTCTTTGATATTATTAGGTTTATTCTCTGATATTGCGCCTCAGTGGTTAATGACCATGTTAAAATCTTTAAAAGAAGATGACCGGTGCTACTATGTGGCCACTACGCTTGTATCATTAGGAGTAGTATATTTCGTGAAAAAGGTAAGCAAATCATTCAAATTTTTATACATTTGAAAATCCTAACAAGAAACAATTATAAGCCACAAGAAAATTTAATTCATTGTAATCAAAAGATTTTAAAAAAGCATTAAAATAGAGTACACTTCTTTTTAAGTATTTTTGCTTTAAAAAATAAACAAATATACTAAACAAAAATATACAGGAAAACTAATGGTATAGAACCAGTTTATTAAGTTAAATTTGAGCTTATTGTATCGTTAATAAATTTACGAACTGGAAAAAAATCCTTGGAATGATAAATTTATAAACATATTTGCATCTTCATAAATTTATTTTTCAAGGTATCTGAACCCTGTATGACTAAACTCAACCATTGGAGCACTGTGAATGCGAGGAAGATGTTAAATATACTTTTAATCATCTTTAGTTAACTTCTACTGGTCATCTAATGTTGGATATTTCTCGACAGTATTTTCTTAAACCTTTAACATACTAGATCAACGTTAGTCAGAATAAGAGAGCGATGAATCCTCTCCGTGAAACATCCACTTTCTAACTTGACTGTCTCCTTCCTGACTGAATACTTTCAAAACAAAACTTTTCAATAATAACTACTAATGCCACCAAATGATAGAACTTTTTGTCATTGAATTAAAAGTAAATTATTTATTTATTCAGATAAGGTTTCATGGAGTTAATCGTCGTTCGGACAAAAATATAGGAATATAGTTTTGAAATAAATAAAAAAAATTCTGCTTATTTCGGAACTAAAATAAGAAAAGTACAGTAAGTTTTGAAAGGTTAACTTATTAAACTTATTGGTGGTTAACGTATTGGTGGTAAACGTAGTGGTGGTAAACGTAGTGGTGGTAAACGTAGTGGTGGTAAACGTAGTGGTAGTAAACGTAGTGGTGGTAAACTTATTAGTGGTAAACTTATTAGTGGTAAACGTATTAGTGGTAAACTTAAGAGTGGTAAACTTAAGAGTGGTAAACTTATTAGTAGTAAACTTAGTGGTGGTTAACTTATTAGTTGACTTTTCCCAGTTTGAAACTTACAGTAATAATATCGTAAAGAGCTTTATTAGAGACAAGGAAATCATTTCTGGACCTAATTCTAAACCTTGAAAATATGGTAATGAAGAATACTTTCCTTACTTTCTCTTTCAGAAAAATTCACTAACATGACTAATATACAACCGGTTTAACTATATCCACCGCATGTTGCCCAAAACCGGTGTAATTTTAGCCACTACATGTTTCCTACAATTTGTTTTTCTTTAGCCACTACATGTTGCCTGCACTGGTTATACTTGAACCAGCTCTCAAAAACCATTTAATCTTATTTACAACCCTTAATTGTTTTAGAAAATGGGAAAACTTACCAAAACTGGCATTATTTTATTGTAAGAGAATTCTTTAGCTAATGCACTTTTTTCTTACTAATCTCTTTGTAAATAGAATAGGTGTCTCAAAGTTATGTAATTTCCCTTCTCTCCACACTTTCCCCCTCTGCTTTACACAGGTTACGGCAAATCTTTCTTTTTTCTCCGAACCAGTTTATTCCAACTTTTTACAGAAACGAACTGTAAGAGAAAAGTAAGATTTGCCGATACCATTGAAATAGAGGGGGGAAATGTGGAGAGTGGGAAAACTACCAAAGCTTGAGACTCCTATTTACAAACAGTATAATAAACTAAAGTGCACGAGGGAAATTTTTAATCTCGCTTTTACAAGAGCTGTTGCGCTGACATAACTATCTTTAACGCTATAATTTCCTTTAGTATGAAAACATCAAGAAAACAAAAATCAATATTTTAACTTAAAATTCAAAATAACGCAAAAAGAAGGAAAATAAATTTTGATCAAAGTGGTATTTAGAAATCAAAAGAATGTTTTAAAAGCAATTCAAATTTTTATGTTGCTAACATAAATAGGTAATACATCCTTCTAAAACTTCAAATATTTCAAAGTATCTAATTAGCAGAAAATAATGAAAGTTTAAAAAAAACTCGCGTGCTTTACTTCTCTAATTGAACAAATTTATTCATGAGCTTGGGATTTCAGAAGGGTTCTACTATTCAAAGAAAAGTGACTTTCATACAATCTCTCATAATTTTTCCTTTTTAACTTCAATGTCAGACTTAGATATCACTGTTTAATTTTTTACCATTAGGTACAGTTACCTACTTTTAGGTCTCTCTTATCGTAATATGCCGTACTTGCAAGATCGAGATTTTAGTATAAAATTTTTGATTCTTGAACAAATTTATGTATTATCTTTTAATCACTATTTTGCTATCCCAAATCTAGTTATTTAAAAAATATTTTGAAACCTTTCTTTACTAGGTATTTTCTTTTAATAAATCAAAAAGAGTAAAGACAACAGACTTAAACATTGAAGAAACTGCTGATGAAATAACGAGTAATTTCAAAGAAGTGTCTAACATAAGAACGGTAAGTAGATATACATATATTAGTATTCAAATATGCAGGATCTTCCTATGAGTCATTGATATCTTTGCAGATATAAAGCTCTAATGCTATCCAATTTCAATTTCAGCAAATTTTCATTGGGTGTTCCATAATCAAAGCCCTTAATGTTTTTAGATTCTTTATTATAAATAGAGTTAAGCCCTGTGGTCGCAATTCAGTATTTAAACAATCAAAATTCAAAAACGTTCTTGAATACTAACGAATTAATTTTTAAAAAAATCAAAACATCAAAGCTCATTTCGAAACCGATCCTTTTTGGTTTCAAGAAGCTATCGAGCAGCTTTTGATACTTTTTTTTGTTAGTCTTCAATAATTTGTCAGGCTACATTACCCTTTTTGTTCTTTCATCACTTAATTTTTCCTTCATCACTTTTGATTTTTGCAAGAATTCTAAAAGTATTAACTAAAGACTGTGATTACGAAACGTCCTGTTTATTAAAATACAATGTCAAGGTTTAATTACGAAAGTGATGTGATGGTTATTCAGGCACACTGCGGGTTTTTTAGATTTGTATATTTAAAAGTCCTATTTTTTCTAAATTTGTTAAAGAGCCTTCATTTTACAACTTTCGTCGAGAGACAATTGCGTAATTTCAAAATTTATCTATTATATAAAACAGATGAATAGGGCCACTTAATTGTAACTCAAGTAATAGAAATCTCGAACTAGATGTCCGTCAATAACCTTTACAAGATTATAAATTAACCAAGTATTTTTATTTACAGAAATATGAATCTGATTACATAAAGCAATCTTCAACGACTGACTCAAATGATTGTAGGATACCAAATTCACTAATTGCTTCATCAGAGCAAGAGACAATGTTATTGAACATATCGACATCAGTGTACCAGAATCTGTCTCCTAGAACTACCGTCTCAGAAAACGAGATCTTATCTTTGACAAATCCTACATCTGATTCATCTTTAGAGACTCCTACATCTGTACACAAGATTTTACCCTCAGATTCTGATATTTCTGAGCAACAAATTTTATCAACAAGTTCTCTCGAGCTTGAGCTCAAAAATTTACCTTTAGAATCTTCCATACCTGATATTGAGATCTTGTCTTCAATGTCTTTTGTACCTGAACTCGAAAGCGTTACTTCGGAGGCTTCCCATCTTGAAATCGAAGTCTTACCTTCAATGGTTCCTGTGCCTGAGCACGAAATATTACTGTCAGAGTCTTC